AGAAAGGATAGCTCAGATTTGGCATGTGGTACATGCTTAAATTCCCAGCTACTTGGAAGACTGAGATGGGAAGATTGCTTGAACAAGTTAAAGGCCAGCCTCGACAATACTGTAAAGACCCCCTATCTCAAAATAATGAAGACTCCTACCAAATCAAGTATAGCTCAGAATCAGCCACTATCAAGTATTACTAACATTCTAACATTCAAACGTTTCAATTGCACATATTCAAACCTCAATATTATGTCGATATTATAAATTAGTATCTAATAATAATTTATTACTTATGTTAAAAACAGTATTATTTACTTTTGAAACTACCCATTCTCTCTCATTTTCTTTGCTCTCCCCACAAAATAGGGGAAGTAAACACCTAGTCCTGCTTGCTTTGGGATTCTTGGTCTCTTAGCTTTTCAGATACTGCCAACTTACTAGAGTTTTGTTTTTTTTTGGGTCCGGTCGTGGGGCCTGAACTCTGGGTCTGGGCGCCATCCCTCAGCTCTTCAGCTCAAGGCTAGCACTCTACCACTTGAGCCACAGCGCCACTTCCCGCTTTTTTTGCTTATGTGGTGCTGAGGAATCGAACCCAGGGCCTCATGTAAGGCATGTACTCTACCACTGAGCTACCTTCCCAGCCCCTTACTAGAGTTCCTTTAAGCTACAAAGTGAAAATTCTGTGGGGCAGAAGAAAATTAACGAAACACTTCAAATTGGATTAATAAAAAAATTAGCATGGACTTTAAAATATATTATAGAAAATATTGTTATTGGAAACCCTAAAAGGTATCATAACTAGTTTTTTTTGTTTTTGTTTTTTGCTGGACCTGGGTCTTGAACTCAGGGCCTGGGCACTGTCACTAACCTCTGTGCTCAAAGGTAACCACACCACTTCCAGACTTTTCTGTTTATGTGGTACTGAGGAATTGAACCCAGGGCTTCATGCATGCTAGGCAAGCGGTCTACCACTGAGCCACCTTCCCAGTCCATAACTAGTTCTTAATGAAACTACAGCAATTATCATAGTCAAAGCACATTTCTGCCAAATCCTACAAACTTTTCAACATAGCAATATTTACATTGAGGCTTTCAGCAATGGCTTTCCTCAAGAGCTCTTCTTCCTCCTCCTCCTGGCAGTTCACCTCCCTAGCTTCCTGCTCACTCATTTTGAGAGCCAGAGCAAACTGTTCTTCTTCTGTCATCTCTGTAACAGGATAGAGAAAAGAGGCAAGGACATCATAAACAATAAATTGTACAGAGGCAAAAAAAAAATACTATAAACTTCTCAAATGAAGTTTTATCATCTAAAAACTAAAGAAAGTTCCAGAAGATAGGTGATGGTCAAGACAAGTTAGCAGCAGTTAGAACAAGGACTTGGATTATCCAGACCATAAGTGCTTTTTAACCCATATTGCTGCTTAAATCTCAAGCACAAAAGAGTACCTGGCACATGGTATACAGTTAATAAGTATCTGATGAGTAAATAAACTAACACTCGACAGCTTTTGCTAAATACCATACTGCTTTATGTTTAACAATTTAACTATAATATCTATTCTGAAGAATCATCTCAAGCTAGACAAGGTGGCTCAAACCTGTAACTCTAGCTACATGGAACAGAGATTGAAAGATTGTGGTTCTAGGCCACCTGAGCAAGGCATTAGTAAGGCAGACAGACACACACACACACACACACACACACACACACACACACATACACACACACACACACACCACACACACCACACACGCACACACACGAGACTCTACCTGAAAAATAATCTAAAGCAAAAATACCAACTATGAAATTGGATGCAGTGGTACATATCTATAATCCCAGCACTAGAGAAGTTAAGGTAGGAGGATCATATGAGTTACAGAGTTTAAAGCCAGCCTGGGTTATATGGCAAGACCCTAACTCAAAACAAACACACAAATAAAAAAAGTAAATAAGCCGAGCACTGGTGGCTCACGTCTGTAATCCTAGCTACTCAGGAGGCTGAGATCTGAGGATTGTGGTTCAAAGCCAGCCCAGGTAAGAAAGTCTGTGAAACTCTTATCTCCAACTAACCACCAGAAAAACAGAAGTGGTGCTGTGACTCAAGTGGTAGAGCGCAAGCCTTGAGCTGAAGAGCTAAGGGACAGAGCCCAGGCTCAGAGTTCAAGCCCCATGACCAAAAAAATAAATATAAATAAACAACCCCAAGTCCTGGGGCTTGAACTCAGGGTCTGGGCACTGTCTCTAAGCCTCTCTGTGCTCAAAGCTAGCACTCTACCACTTGAGCCACAGTGCCACTTCCAGCTTTTTCTGTTTATGTGGTACTGAAGAATTGAATCCAGGGTTTCATGCATGCTAGGCAAGCAGTCTACCACTAAGCCACCTTCTCAGCCCTGATTTTTTTTTTTTTTGGTTGGTCGTGGGGCTTGAACTTTGGGCCTGGGCGCTGTCCCTCAGCTCTTCAGCTCAAGGTGAACGCTCTACCACTTGAGCTACAGCACCACTCCAGTTTTCCAGTGGTTTATTGGAGATAGGAGTCTCACGATCTTTCCGTGGCTCACAGGTGTGAGCCACAGGTGCCCAGCTGATTTATCTTTTAAAAACTAAAAAAATACATTCCTCCACACCTGTAATTCTAGCTACTCAGGAGGCTGAGATCTGAAGATCACAGTTCAAAGCCAGCCCAGGCAGGAAGTCCTGAGACTCTTATCTCCAATAAACCACTAGAAAACCGGAAGCAGTGCTGTGGCTCAAGTGGTAGAGCACTCGTCTTGAGCTGAAGAGCTGAGGGACAGTGCCCAGGACCAGAGTTCAAGCCCCACGACCAACAACAACAAAAAAAAAACATAACAAAACATTCCTTAGTTACCAGAATGTGATCTGTTTCTTTGAAACAACCTTTTGGGGCTGGGAATGTGGCTTAGTGGTAGAGTGCTTACCTAGCACACATGAAGCCCTGGGTTTGATTCCTCAGTACCACATAAGCAGAAAAAGCTGGAAGTGACACTGTGGCTCAAGTGGTAAAGTGCTAGCCTTGAGAAGAAAAAAAAAGAATAAGCTCATGGACAGTGCCCAGGCTCTGAGTTCAAGCCCTAGGATAGGGGTGGGTACCTATTCTATTAAAAGCAACTGAAAAGCCGGGTGCCAGTGGCTCACACCTGTAATCCTAGCTATTCAGGAGGCTGAGATATGAAGATCACCGTTCAAAGCCAGCCCAGGCAGGAAAGTCTGTGAGAGAGACTCTTATCTCCAATAAACCACTAGAAAACCAGAAGCGGCACTGTGGCTCAAGCGGTAGAGCACTTGCCTTGAGCTGAAGAGCTGAGGGATAGCGCCCAAGCTCTGAGGTCAAGCCCCATGACTAACCAAAATAAAATAAAAGTAACTAAAAGGCCAAGCACCAATGGCTAACACTTGTAATCCTAGCTACTTAGAAGGCTAGGATCTGAGGATTCTGGTTCAAAGCTAGCTGGGGCAGGAAAAGTCCATGGCACTCTTATCTCCAATTAATCACCAAAAAGCCAGAAGTGGATCCGTGGTTCAAGTGGTAAGAGTCCCAGAGGACTAAAGCTCAGGGATAGAGCTGAGGTCCTAAATTCAAACTCTAGGATTGGTACAAGAATGAAAAAAAAATCATTCTAGGAAATGGAAACAAAAAGTTTTCTCTGTTGCTGTTTTTCTTTTCTTTTCTTTTTGTCTTGTTAGTTTCTATCTTTGGAAGGGGGAGGGCAAATAAATGCAGCAGTGGAACTCACTAGACAATAAACTCTATAACTTATGGGTAGGAATGGGAGAAAAAACCTGGGAGAGTACAAGGTAAGGAGAGACATTGTTCAAAAAGAAATGTACTCTTTACTTGACTTATGTAACTTTAACTCCTCTCTACATCACCATTATAATAACAGTAACAAATTAAAAATAAATAAATCAACTGAAGTCACTGGAGAAATGGTTGATTCAAGTCTGTAGCATGATACATACAGGACAAAGTAGACTATCTGTCATTGCTATGAACAAGTAATCTATCAGAAACTACAAGGGTCATTTCAAAAGAACTCAGGAACCAACACCAAAGAAATAAAAATAAACTCACACTGGACCAGGCACCAGTGCACACATGGCTCATACCTGTAATCCTAGCTACTCAGGAAGCTGAGATCTAAGGATCCCAGCCAGGCCAGGAAAGGAAGTCCATTTTTTTTTTTTTTGGTCGGTCATGGGACTTGAACTCTGAGCCTAGATGCTATCTCTCATCTCTTCAGCTCAAGGCAAGCGCTCTACCACTTGAGCCACAGTGCCACTCTGGTTTTCTGGTGGTTTGAGATAAGAGTCTCATGAACTTTCCTGCTTAGGCTGGCTTTGAAGCACAATCCTCAAATCTCAGCCTCCTAAACTGCTAGGATTACAGGCATGAAGCCACCAGTGCCCAGCCCCAGAAGACTCTTACCTCCAATTAATCACCAGAAAACCAGAAGTGGAACTGTGGTTCAAGTGTGCTTTTAGTGCATGTACATCAAGCCGGGCTTTGGTAGCTAATGCTTATAATTCTAGTTACTCAGGAGGCTGAGATCTGAGGTTCATGGTTCAAAGCCAACCCGGGCAGGAAAGTCCATGAGACTCCTATTTCCAATTAACTACCCTAGAAAACAAGAAATAGCGTGGTGACTCAAAGTGGTAGAGCACTAGCCTTGAGTAAAAAAGCTCAGGGACAGCACCCAAGGCACTGAGTTCAAGCACCACGACTTACTAAATAAATAAAGCTGGAGTATTGGTGGCTCATGTCTATAATCCTTGCTACTCAGGAGACTGAGATCTGAGAATCACAGTTCCAAGCCAGCCTAGGCAGGAAAGTCCATGAGACTCTTATCTCCAATAAACTACTCAGAAAAAGCCAGAAGTGGCACTGAGTCTGGCTCAGGGACAGTGACCAGGCCCCAAGATCGAGGGGAAAAAAAAATCAATTCTAAAATTTGTATGGAAGTACACAGGATCCAGAATAACCAAAGCAATCTATGACAACACATATACTAAAAATGAAACAATACAGAGAAGATTAGCAAGTCTCCTGTGTAAGGAGGACATGTAAATTTGTAAAACATCCTACATTTCTCTGCGTTCAACCATGCAGCTCTTGGAGCCCAATTTGTTCCAAACAAACATTGTTAATATTAATTAGTTTCGCAAAACCTGTAAAAGAATCCTTTTGGGACTAGCCAGAATTCTCCCTGGAATCAATACATAGGTCTTCTCGCTTGTGTCACTCCAGGGAGTATGCCTGGAGGCAGAGGGCTGGACAGGGGTGTCTTTTAACAGATCAGTTCTGTACCAAATAGAATCGCTTCTGTGTGAGGCATTCCTGAACTCTCCAATGTGACTGGTGAAGGCCTAGGGAAGCACAGCAAACTGGATGCAGTCAGAGCCCCATTAATCTCAATCATTTCATTTATTTTCAATCATGATTTGCTTTCTCATCCCTACATCCCTCAACCCCAGAGATGCTGCCACATACCCCATGGAAAACAAACATCCCTCCTATGACCCAATCAATCCCCTTCCTCTATTCTTCCTGGTGAGAATTCAGGCAGATAGTCACAGATCTCAGCCTCCTGAGCAGCTAGGCATGAGCCACTGGCACCCAGCCTAAATTACATTTTAAGCCTTGAAAGAAAAAAAAAAAAAAAAAAACAAACGTAGAAATTGCCTTAACTGACACTGAAACTTGGGAAACTTACAGAAATAGCCAAAGTTGTATAATAGTGGCCTAAATAACAACAGTGAGATTGCTTATTGACACAAATACCCCAACCATGCAGGCCAATGTCAAAACACAAAGGAGTCTTTTCAATAAACAAGCTAGAACAACTGGAAATCTGTATAGAAAACATAAAACTTTGGCTACTATCTCAAAACACACCGGAAATTAAGTATATACCTAAATACCAAAGCTACAACCAGAAATCTTCTAGAATTAAAAATAATAGAACATCAGCCAGGTGGTGGCTCACGCCTGTAAATCCTAGCTACTCAGGAGGCTGAGATCTGAGGATCACAGTTTGAAGACAGCCAGGGCAGAAAAGTCCCAGTGAGACTCTTATCTCCAATTAACAACTCAGAAACCAGAAGTGGAGCTGTTGCTCAGAGGCAGAGTGCTAGCCTTGAGCAAAAGAGCTCAGGGACAGTGCTCAGGCCCTGAGTTCAAGCCTCACAACCAACAAAACAAAAAACAAACAAAAAACCACTTTTGATTTGTCTGCCCTGTCTGGTTTCAAACTTCAATCATCAGACCCCAGCCTCCTAAATAACTAGGATTATAGGCAAGAGTCATTGGTGCCCAGCTTAATTTTGTACATTTTTTCACCAGTGATTCTAAAGCTATTTAGTCAAATAAATAGTTATTATTTATCACTAAATAATAAACAAAATGTAGTTTAACTATGGAGAATATGTAAGACACAAGAAATGCTGATTTACACCAATGAACTATAACTATTACGCTAAGTGATAGAAATCAGACACAAAATGGCACACATTTTATGCTACATTTATATGCAATGTCCAAAACAGGCAACCCATAGAGAAATAGATTAGAGAGTTAGGGAACTGGGAGTTGGGGAAGGAAGTGACTACTGAATGGGCACAGGGTTTCCTTTCCAGGGAATGAAAATCTTCTCTATTCTAAGAATGCAAAACACTGTGAAAATACCACTGAATTGGGCACTTCTGTGTATGTATGTATGCCAGTACTGGGCTTGAACTCAGGGCCTGGCAGCTAACCCTTAGCTTTTTCACTCAAGGCTGGCACTCTACCACTGGAGTCACAGCTCTACTTCTGGCTTTTTCCTTGTTAATTGGAGATCAAGAGTCTCACAGACTTTCCTTCTCCAGGCTGGCTTTGAACTGTAATTCTCAGATCTAAACTTCCTGAGTAGCTAGGATTATAGGCATAAGGCACCAGCACCCAGCTGAATTGCATAGTTTAAATAGTAAAATTAATCTTATGTGTATTTTACAAAAAGAAAAAAGATGATGTACTTCAAAAAAGCCAAAAGGCAAACTGAAATAATTAAGCAATGGAAAAACTAGTTCCATAGCAGTTGAAAAAACAATGTGATAGGGAGAAATGAAGAGTTCAAATGAAGAGTATGGAACAAAGTTTAATAAGCATTTTAATTCTAACAATGTCAAGGTTAGCAGCAAAAAAGATGAGTAGCAAAACTCTGTGAAAACCTGAAGAACAAATTCCTTGCTCCCAAGATACAATACAGGGAAAACATTTCTATCCTAAAAAGGAAAAACTAAAGAATAGCAAAGAGGAATTGGACCAGAGCAAGGCTGAAACCCAGCAGGGTAATGCTATATCTGACAGCTTCCTACCCAACCTTGGGAACACACTAACGTGCTGTGGTGGGAAGTGAGCTCCCAGAGGCTTGGCAGCCCTGCCCCTATGGCTTTGCTGGCTGCAGCCCACATAGCTGCTCTCAGACTGGCTTTGCTGGCTGCCTGCAGCTTCACTTGGCAGATGTGCATTATTGACATCTCTCTTGAGTTCTGTCTCACAACTCTGGCTTCACTCTGACAGCTCCACAAACTGCTCTTCTAAGCACTGTTTGAAGGGATTACAACCCTATCACACATGGCCTGGCCTCCCGGGCTTTTCTTTGAATGAAATTTTGGTAGAAGTCTCCACAACCTGCTAACACTTTTGTTCTTAAAGTAGCTGCGAGAATGCCTTGCTTGCTGAATGTTGGGAAACAATTTCCTAGGTGGTCCTGAGCTAGCAGGGTACACCTTGGCTAATAGCGCCTCTCAGGGCTCGAGTCTCAAAATACTTTCATCCTGAAAAGTCTTTGAAATAAATACAGGTTGCTATCTCTCTAGCCTGTGATGAGTGGGTCTTGCCATTCCTTAGATGTGGGAAGGTGCCATTTCCCATGGTACTGATGCAAAGCACTGAAGTTTTATTAACAACACTCTCCTTGGCTGAAAACTCACATCGACTTCTTTTCAGGCCAAGCTGCAAATTTTTAAGATTTTTTTTCATACTGCTCCTTTTTGCTCTCATTTCTTGCTGTACATTAACTAAAAGTAGCCAGCAGTATCCACGCCACTCACTGCCTAAGTGCTATATATACTGCTTTGACATTTTAATTTGGTCTCATGATTTTGGTCTTAGAAAGAAAAAAAAAAAAAAGGCTAGAAATCAGGCACTGGTGGCTCACACATGTAATCCTAGCTACTCAGGAGCCTGAGATCTGAGGCTCACAGTCTGAAGCGAGTGCAGGCAGGAAAGTCTGTGAGACTCATCTCAATATGCTACCCCCCCCCCCACCAAAAAAAAAAGGTGGAAGTGGAATTGTGGGTGGTAAAGCACCAGCCTTGGGCAAAAAAAAGCTCAGGAATAGCATCCAGACACTGTTCAAGCCCACCCCCCACCCCCACCCCAGAAAAAAAAAAAAACTTAATTACTTATCTAATTAATGTTAAATGCTGGAACTCAGAATTGAGAGCACTTGCCCCTTTCTCCTTTTACCTCCACCCACTTCAAATGCTTGCATCTCTTAAAATGGGAAGTTGAGCTCAACACACTCAAGCCTCAGCACAATCTTTCTTTCTGGAAAATTGGCTTAATGTCCCCACCAGAGCCACTAAGCTTCCTGTTACTATGCCATGATCCTTAGGCCTGCAAACAATCAATGTCCTTCTTGTATTGCGCCATATTTCCTAGCTTACTACTTTTTTTATACCAAGCCTGGCAGGTTTTAGAAACATGAACCTCTTTAATCTTACCACTCAATCCCTTCCCCAGCCCAGTTCCTTCAGGATAGCCTTTGCCAATATCACACTTCTTGGGTACAACAGGGCACATAAGGACAGGGCCCTAAGGATTAAGGTTAAGTATCAAGCTCAATGATAATAGGCCCTAAGCCAAGGTCCTACCATGATAGCAGGAAGCCTGTCAGCACAGAAAACAGAATCCTCACTTTCATGTGAAATCTCACCAGCATAATCTACATCTTCACTCCTACTAACATCTACCCTAGTAAACTGCTGAGCTATGTGGACATCATTCCAGATATTCTCTAGACTATTTTTTTTTTTGGGGGGGGGGTCTGGTCGTGGGGTGAACTCTGGGCCTGGGCGCTGTCCCTCAGCTCTTCAGCTCAAGGCTAGCGCTCTACCACTTGAGCCACAGTGCCACTTCCATTTTTTTTCTTTTTGCTTATGTGGTGCTGAGGAATCGAACCCAGGGCCTCATGCATGAAGGCAAGGACTCTACCACTCAGCCACCTTCCCAGCCCCTCTCTATACTATTTTGCCAAACTTTTCCCAGTGTAGGATAGCAGCCAAGATTTCAATCCTGGTACTAATTATTTTTGTTTGTGCTGGTCTTGGGGACTGAATTCAGGGGCTAGGTGCTGTCCCTGGGCTTCTTTTGCTAAAGGCTAGTGCTCCTCCACTTGAGCCACAGCTCTACTTCCAGCTTTTTAGGGGTAGTTTACTGGAGATAAGAGTCTCACAGACTTTCTTGCCTGGGCTGGCTTCAAATTGTGAGCCTCAGATCTCAGCTTCCTGAGTTCACTTTCTCTTTAAATAAATATGAGATGATCAGCTCATAAATGGAAAAGGGTTATTTTGGCTCATATTTCCAAGGTGACAGTCCACGGACTCCTTGCTAGGTGTGATACAGTATGTTACCATTGTAAGAACACATGGCAAAGTAAAATTTCTCATAGCCACAAAGCGAAATGGAGAAGATGGGTCCCAAAATCCCCTTTGAGAGTGTGTTACAATGACTCAAAGACCTCCCACCAGGCCATCCTACTTCCTAAAGTTTCCAACACCTTCCAAATATACCACACTGGGGACCAGATATTTAAGACTCAAACAATAGCAATAGCTTTTTTCCTGTAAAACCTGAGCTGTTTATACGGCTTTCTAAGAAAGCCCCTGTTAGATTGGAGATGTCTCCTCTTAGGAATCTGACCATCCCCAGTAGATCAAAATACTAAACTGAGAAATTCCTTCAAAAACAGCCCCAGTGGCTCATGCCTGTAGTCCTAGCTACTCAGAAGATCTGAGGATTGTGGTTTGAAGCCAGGCAGAGCAGAA